AACAAGAACCCATAGAGCAGTGTTTCTCAACCTTGGCAACTTGAAGATGTCCGGACTTCAACTCCCAGAATTCCCCAGCCAGCATTTGCTGGCTGGGGAATTCTGGGAGTTGAAGTCCGGACATCTTCAAGTTGCTAAGGTTGAGAAACACTACCATAGAGCCTTCCTGATTATGTGTGCTTGGACCCAGGAAGTAAGTCCATACATCCTTGAGGGAGGGCTGGTTCTGCCACCTTTTAAAGACATGGTGGTATCACTTCTCATTAAGAAACCATCCCTGGATCCAATAATGCTCAAACAATGTCATCCCATATCCAACCTTTCCTTTTTAGAAAAGACAGTTGGTGTGCCAGTTTTAGGGGGCCTTTAAAAAACAGCTTTTTCAGTCAGGTGTACAAGACCAAGATTTTGTATTTAACTGATTGCAAACTTTGCCAGGATCTTTTTGATTGCTCAGTGGCCTCCGAGTGTTGGGAATGAGAAGACACATCGTGGTGATTGTTTTTGAGTTCCTTTGGACCAGGTCCTTTGATTTTGGATAGGAGAGAAATCTACTGTAGTTTTAGAACTTTTATCTGTGAGGCTTGTCAGAGCTGTATACTCTCCTCTCTTATTTAATATCTACATGAAGCTGGGTGGTTTTCCATCAGCATGGAGCTAAATATAATTTGTATACAGATGATGTTCACATTTTTCTCTCTGCTCAACCAATCAGTTTTCCCCCAGTCCAGTGTCTGAAGGCTGGAGGGGGTATCTGTTTGGATAGGGAAGAATAAGCTTCAACTTAAGAGTAGCTATAGCCTGAGAACTTTGGCCTGGGAACTTTCCATTTTTATGGAAAGAGTTTTCCAGGACCAGTTCCACATTCTCATACATTGCTGGTGCGCAGTATGAACTCTCTGCTCCTTGAGAAACAGATGGGACATGCAATTTGGATAGTTTTTGCATACAGCCCTTTTGTTCACCAATTGTGTATATTTCTGGATCAGAAGTCCCTATTCACAGTCACTTTTTTCACAGCTGAGTTCACATTTTTATATTATCACCCTGGTATCTTTTCCTACTTAGTCAGTTTAGACTCCTTTAGAGTATCTATGACGTTTCAGATTTTGCTCCCAAGTGCATCATTTAATGATTGGCTTAAACTGAAACATCCTTTGATCATTTGCCCACTTTACAACACTTTCCCCCAACTCATAAGCACTGTAAAAACTGCGGTCAACTTTTTACTCTGAACTTCTAAATGGGTACGGGATCTGCTCCTATCTGTGAACTGGAAAAAAACAGACTATAAAATATTGAAATGCACATTGCAACATTTATTTCCTTTTAAAAACTGAGATATTTTCAGAGGGGTTCAAGTCTGCTGATTTGCTTACTTGAAGCATGCATCATCTACATTCAGACTGTGCTGTGGAAAAATATTGCAACCATCTTCTGAATCATCTGGCGTATCTCCACTCTAGTAAATATAGATTGGCTCCTGAAGCGTAGATACACCAACAATTCTTGCATCAGGAACATGACATATTGTCTGTTTGTTGAATTCCAAAGGCCAGTTAGAACACTTTGACAAAGTAGAGACATAATGCTTATCTCTGATTTACTGTACAGTATCCACAACATATGAACTCCTAAAAAAGCACCCCATCTCCATGTACATTTGTCCATATTTTGTAGTTCTTCATTTTTAAGTTTTGTTTTCCTGAAATGTTTTTTTAAAAAAACCTAATTCATAAACATGTTTTTTTAATTAAAAAAAAACATTTGGCATGTAAAATACTATGGTTTGGGGAATGTAGGGCTTCATACATTTTATGGCATTATCACATAATGCTTTATATCTTATCTGTTTGAAAGCTAAGGCCCTGCTTTTAGTTTAAAATATATGAAAAGAGGTAATCCAAAATTATACAATAAATATAGAACCTGTCACGTTACTCTATAATATACTATACATTCAAGTTAAGAGAAAAAAGTTTCAATGTCAGTTACACTTGAAATATACAAGTGACCAGTTCATCATGACTGCTAAAAGTGCTATTTTTGCTTGCAAGGAAACATACAAATGCTGAAGCACTTCATCTTTTGCTTCAAAAAAAAAATCACACATTCCTTCAATTAAAGAGCCATATCATCTGTAATAAGAATATACATAAATCTGAATAAAGTTTTACTATTTATATTGAGTCAAGGGCAGAGACTCTCTTTCTAAACGGGACATATAGGAAAAGTTTTTTTGGGGAGGCAGAGAAGGGTGGTTAAAAAGCCACACATACAGCATAACAGCTATCACCATCAATTCCACTCATGAATTGTCTGTTTTGTGAAACTCAAAAAATTTATGGGTGAAACAACTTAAGAAAAAGAGCAAGAATGTTCAAAAAGCTAAGATGAATTAATGATGTGGTCTGTGCATAAGTCTGATAGTGGCACATGAATGTTGTTCCCACTGTCTTCTGCCACAGGGCTAGTTTCCTTAATCTGCAGCATTAATGGCTCCCTTTTCATCTGGTTGGTCTTTTGGTCTTCAGGTATTTTATCCAGAAAAGTACTCAAACTGGGAGAAAACAAAAATAAGAAAATTAATGCACTATTCTTAACATAAGCATTTGCAGAAAAGGAATGATAAAATATAGGATCATAACATCATGAAAATGCTTTATCTACTTTTCTCAGATGTCAGGACCCAAGTAATAAGGGCATCATTTTGGCATCAGGATTTGCTGCAACTGCTACTGGTTTTAAATATGGTTTGTACACAAATACAATGATGAATAAAAGTTGGCTCCCTTTATGAAAATATCCATCCATCCCAAACCAAATAGTTTGGCAACATTATACGACAACATATTATAGTTCCAATTCTTCTGTATCTTCATTGCTACAAAAATAAAAAGCTCTTTGTGCAAGACATCCACAGTTGATGTTCTACACTTGTCCTAACATATTATAAGTTGGATATATGCCAGAGAATTCCAAAACCAGCCTCAAAACCAATAATTTTATTGAAGTCCTAAGAAGAAAAGGTTACGCGCATTTGCTTTCAATCTGCAGACACTACTGTGAGTTGAATAGCCTAGCATTTGCCTTCTTAAAACCAAATATTCCAATACATCATATTGAAACAGAACTATTTTGCCATCTTTTGGAACTGCTAACTGTAATTTCTCCCAATTCAAAACACTTTGATTTTAGCTGTTTAATGTCTTCTGTTGTTGGAAAAGAAAGAAAAAAAGAAAAAAAACATACCTGTTCTCAATAATATGTTGAGTTGATTGATAAACATCTGAAAATTTGGGTACATTGGACATGTGATTTAATTTCTTTTGGTGCGACCTGACATTGGTTAATGTGTTATCTGATTCAGAACCTGAAAGACAAACACAGTTTCTCAGAAAAGGCTCAAGCCTTCCCTAGAGAGGCTGGCAACTATGATTTTTTTTCAGTATCAAGGGAAAAATCTGTATTTTATTTAATTCTGTGATATTTTAAGTATTTTTACAATTATTAATTCTTCTGTGAGTTGCTACTAGCTTTACTATAAGGTTTGTGCCCTATTTGTCATGATTAGCATTATTGCTGATGATGTTATAAACATTATTTCCCTTTGTTGTTTTCTATATCACTTGATTGTATAGAAAGTGTTTTTAATGCATTTGTATAGTCTCCACATAATTGTGATTGTTGGAAGTTTACAACAGAAATCAATAAATCATAGCTAAGTCTACTCCTTTTTCTTCAATCTGATTTTAGAGACAGCTTTCCAAGCTGACAAATGTTCTGTTGTTTCTAATTATTTGTTTTAATTACAAGTCTTTGAAATTTCATTGGGTCAGAGTCAGACGGAGAAAATAATGGGGGTTGCATTTACCTCATGCTTTAAACAGTGTCAAGAGCTCCCTTTATAACCAAAGAAAGAGGCTCCCCCTCTTTATTTGCGTATAAAGCTAAAGCTTGGGGTATAGTGATATGGCCATTCCAGGAATTACAGGGAAAGCAGCTGTTCCTTCTCAAAGAGCCTATTACCAGTCTAAACAGGCCAACTTTCTTTTGTTTTCTTAATAGCAAAATATCCTCATCTTATAAAACTTACAAAATAAATCCACCTTGACCATTGATTTTCCCGTACAGTACCACCAGCCACCCTGGAAAGGGGAGAACTTACATAGATATGTGTCCTGGCTGGTATCCAGCCAGCATGGAATACTCTGGAATCAAAATACCCATTACCCAATCTACCAGAATGTGAGATAAAATTCATTTAAGTACATACTTTAGAAGTACAGTAGGGGAAAATGATAAGTAAAATAAACAAAAGAACAAAATACATGTATTGAAAAAGTAAAGAAGAATTAGGAAAGGCATTGCCATTAGCACTATCTATTCACAATGCTGGAAAAGTACAATGGAAGAGAAGAAGCTGTAGCTCAGAATTGCAGATAGCAGCTGTAGCTGTAAGCAATAAATCCCACAGCCATTCAGCTGGGAACAGAAGGGACACCGAATTCATCAAGGACAAGTAACATATTTTTATCTAATACAATACAATACAATTCAATACAATACAACACAACAGCACAGTTGGAAGGGACCTTGGAGGTCTTCTAGTCCAACCCCCTGCCTAGGCAGGAAACCTTACACCATTTCAGACAAATCACTATTCAACATCTTCTTNTAGGAAAACTTAGAAAATAGTTTGACTCCCTCTTCTTTGTGGCAACCCCTGAGATATTGGAACACTGCTATCATGTCTCCCCTAGTCTTTCTTTCTATTAAGCTAGACCTACCCAACTTCTGCAATCGTTCTTCATATGTTTTAGTCTCCAGTCCCCTAATCATCTTTGTTGCTCTTCTCTGCACTCTTTCTAGAGTCTCCACATCTTTTCTAAGTTTTCCTAGGATGGTTTCACCTATTCAGGAAATGTGTATACTCATAGGTTCCTGCCAACTCTACAGAGTGCAAGGAAGTGTAGCTACCATTCTTCCCCCTTCCCCAGATCATTGGGACTGGAGAAAAAGGGACCCCCAACTCCTAACTTCCAATTGTGATTCAAGTGCCATTCTACCAAGCAAAGGCGAATAAGTTGCTTTTGCCGTCTCAATATTGATGTCCCAGGTTTAGCCACTCAAAATGCCCACAATATTAACAGCCTAGCTTTCATAATTGCAAAGAGTCTAAATACCACCTCACAAGCCCTGGAGGCCCTGAATCAGGAACTTAGATTTGAGAAGTTATACTAGAAAATAGAGTGGCCATCAACTAACCACTCCTGCACCTTAGAATACCAGCACGTACCAGCTACGTGCTGGTATTCTGCCTTAGTTATATGTCCCTCTTTCCACTTTTTGTACTTATTCTTTTTGTCCTTCAGTTTATCAAGAAATATTTGCGCAACATACTGGCTTCTTCTTGGATTTCTTATTTTTATTTTACAATGGTATTATGCTGTCATGGGCTTTTATGATCATACTTTTCAAAGTTTCCAAGCTTCTTGAGTTGTTTTCCCCTTTAAGATTTTTATCTAGGGAATCTGTCCTAGGTTCACTCTGAATTTCTCAAAATCAGCTCTTTTATAGTTTAAGATACTGATTGGATTATATTTTATGTCTTTGCCTTCTATTGAATTCCAAAATTACCTGATTGATCTCATGGATAGTTAAAGTCTCCCTGTGGTGAGTTTCCTATATACATTGATTAATTGGTTAGTAAAAAGTTCATCTATTTCTTCTATTTGATTGGGTGGCCTGTAGTATATGCCTATAGCAATGTCGTTCTTTTTTCTTTTACCCATATACATTCCAGGAGGTTTTCATCCTTGGTTATGTACATTTCATTAGAGATGTAATGAACATTTACATATAATGCAACTCCTTCTTGGGACTATTTCTTTTGAATAGTTTGTATCTTTCCATCAGTACATTCCAATAATGGGTTTCATCCCATCAAGTTTCAGTAATGAAAACTATATCATATTTGCTTTCATGTACTAGTGCCTCAAATTCACCCTGTATGTTCCCTAAACTCCTAAACTTTGAGCATTAGTATATAGGCATTTCAATTCTTTAGGGCTGATCTTGCATATATTTCTTATATCTCCTCCTTTGTAACTCAGTTTTCCATTCTTCCCATCACTCTCTATTTCATTATGTGGTTTGATTATGTTGAGGTTTATTTTGGAATTAAGTGTCAAAGATCCTAAAGACTGATCAAACCCTCCACCCTCATTTTTAGTTTATGCTCCTGACATGTTTAGCCAGTGGTTTACCAACAACATTCTTCCTCGTTTTTGTGAGGTGCAGCCCATCCCTTAACAGAAACCTTTCATGGAGGTAATGCAGACCGTGGTCTAGGAATCCAAAGGAATCCAAATCTTAGCAGCAGTAACCACTGAGCCAGTGGTTTACTTCTAAATTCCTTTGTTCTCTCAACAGTAGAAGTATGCAAAATAGTATACAAAAGTATAGAGGATTGTTCTCCCCTGCCATAGTCTGCAGTTTTCATAAATATAGCAACATAGGTACATACCAGGCTTACAGGCATTAAACACTTTGTTTAGCAGCTTCAGACACTTTTCATCATTCCAATTAAACAGGATCCTGGCCAAAATGTACAAATCTGCTTCAAGAATTGGATCTTTAAAAAAATCCCCTGAAATGAAATAATTAAGATACATTTTAAAATATGATCATCCTGAAAGAATACTTTATTCTCCCTACCATTTAAAGCAAAATAAGCTCTTCCATCTCATCATGTTCTGACATTGGCAGAAATGCTAGAATAAACTCCAGTTTACCTCCATGGACAGTAATCTGCGATGCTGCTGGGAGGACATTATATTTCTTTGATGTTTCCACTACTTCAGGGAGGTCAAAAAGTGTCACAGTACAATTTGGATACATTGCAATCAGTTCCTTAGATAAGGCACCACAGCTTCCTTGAAAAAAGGACAAAATAAAAAGAAAGAACTATATAAAATAAAATTTAGAAATATATATTTCAAACAGTTTTTCAGTTTTGCTGTTTTAAGATTCTTCAACTACCTCACTTACTTACAACATTAAAGTCTGTTTTCTAGTTTCCATACAGCAATAAACAGAAGATATATTCTAATAAATATATTACCTAAATAGTTCCTCTCCTTCATTTTTGTAAAATGTTTTCCTTTAGTCTTTTTTTTTTCAATAGTCTTTATTGGTTATACATTTTTTAAGGATAAAACATACAAATACAAATACAGTTTTAAACATACAACGCCCCTCCCCCCCCGCGGTGACAGTCATTCACAGCCCAACTTTTTTTTTCTTCCTCATTGTTTAGTCTCTAAGCAACATCTTCTCCCTTTCTTTCTTTCTTTCTTTCTTT